CCACCCACCCCCTCCCCTGCCCCCCAATTTTGGCTTTGTGTATCTTTACACTGCTCTAGGGTTCATAGCTGTCAACAATGTGCTGAAGAGCACTATGGATCTGGGCAGTTAATGCTGCGCTGTGGTTGGGAAGATTGCTGGGAAAACTGCAGGAGAGTGGACTTGGATGAAGAGCCTTGAAATGAAACTGTGAGAGGAGTGCCCATTTGGGGCAGGAACCAGTGAAACTGGACAAAGATTCATGCACTCAGGTGGTGGGAAGAATTAAAAACGAGAAAGGGAGCCAGAAATTGTGGGTGACAGGGAGCTGTCCGGCAAGGAGACTGTTGAGGAGGCATGAAGAGAGATAATTGGTACCAGCTTAAATCTGGGAAGTGAAGTTTAGGATCTTGTAGTGTGGGGCAGCGTCAAAGCTCTTGGGAGTAAGGATGAGAAATTAAAGTATTCATTTTTTTAGGAATATATTCTCTTCAGTATCTGTAACTGAAACCGAGATCTCTTCATGCAACCATTCTTTTGTTACCAACAAATTGTCTCCAGAATTCATTGACAGTTTGACTGATGCCTTCCTGTGCTTTGGATGTGATACCGTACTCTTGCCATCAAGTACAGTACAAACTGAAGGAAGAAAAATCTATTGCATTTCAGAGGTAGAGCGCTATATAGACCTGAATTTAGTGCCACACAATGAGATTTGTTTCACTGGTTTGCTAAAAGTTGTACAGTAAAAAGTACACAAAAAGAACAGCATTTAAGTTGTGAAATCAGTTGTCAGGAAGTGGGAAATGGCAGAAATAAGTTGTACCTGAAACTTTAATTTTCTTAGTTGTATTCAGCCTTTTATACGCTCTCTCCCCTGGCCTCCTACCTCTGATTCCACTGCTTGGACTTTAGATGAATGAGTCTGTTGAATTTCAGCCTTATGCTTTGTAAAAGCTAAGGCTTCCCACCTGCAAGTTGCTGGCTTGGTATTGGCAACTGGGCCACCAGATTTTTTTTCAAGCTGTGATATGTATTTGCAGTC